AGCAAATATCACACACTGTATCTGGAAATGGGTTATGATTCCTGCAGCGACTTTTATCCTCACTTACCACTTCAGTATTAGTGGGACAGTCAGAATGGTTACTGTGGTTTTATAAACCACAACCCATCCTTTCCCTTCAGTAGCTGCTAAAATAGAAACCATAGATCTGGCTTGCATCTTGTGAGACACCTGAAGTACTGTCATCCGGAATGCTGTGGCCATGGGGACACTGGCACAACTCTCTGGAAGGTTCTTATAAACTGTGAAATGGGGCTGCACAGATGGTATCTGCTGTGGGTGGCAGGTGGGGAATGACGCTGTGTGTAGTGTCCTGGCTGAGCAGCTAGAATGAATTTAGAAAGTTTGATCTTCAGTATCAAATCAAGGAACTCATGGTTATGTGATGGAAGGCTTTCTGTGTTGCTGAACAAGAGGGTAGAGTTGCTTGCTGTGTGATATAGTTATAAATGTCCACTAAGGGGGCTTTTTTGAATGTTCTTTTGCCCTTGAATATAGTTTGGTTGTCTTAAAATTACATTTTTATTTCCTGACTTTGAAATGCTTGTGTTTTGTGAGTGACTTACAGTTAGTCTATATGTGCGATCAAAACCCTGCATAAAAGTTTTTTGGATTTGGTCTTGGTTTGTTAGCACAGTTTAGGTGAAGAGCTGAGTTCCCTGAGCTACAGGTGAAAGATTAGTCTTCAACTACTTTTTTTTTTTTTCTGACTCTTGAGTTTGTCATTTGCTGGTTTGAAAATTCATGTACGTAGATCAATTTTTTCCTTAATATTGATAATTGCAAAAATAATTTCACTGTAATTGTTTTGAACTCTGGAACGTCTGGATTTTATTTTTAGTTTAGAGATTTGCCTTATTAGGCAAAACCCCGTGGATTTAGTTTGTTAACAGAGGGGTTTTTTTAGTTCCTAGGAGCTGTTTTTGAAACCTACTGTTTCACTTTACAGTTTCGTGGAAGAGATCCTGAAAGTCTTATAGTCTTACATGCAGTGCTGACTCCTGTGCATGAGCAAGAAGTAATAATATTATAATCAAGATTGGAAAAAAAGAGGCAAAAAAATACTGTGGAAGCTGTATCAGGTTCTTGTGGGTTTGTTTTGTTGGGTTGGTTTCTTTGGTGTTTTTTGGGGGTTTTGTTTGTTTGTTTTTTGTTTTTGTTTTGTTTGTAATAATTACATTTAAAAAAAAAAAATCATACTCTGCCAGAGACAAAGAAAGTAGCAGGTTTATCATACAGAACACTGGATGCAGTTAAACGGTTCATTCCTTTGCACCTTTCTTGTTTTTGCCTGTCCCTGAAGGCAAGTACTTGTGAGAACACCAAGATAAATTTCTGATAATGCACCAGGAAGCACCACCTAGAGATGGCAGAGCTTGAAGTGATGGTTGATTATGGCTGCTCGTGATAAATCTTTTTTTTTTTCATCCTGTTTAAGAGCTTCTGTCAAAGAGCTGCTTGAAACTTTTTTTTTTGATAAACAAGAACGGTGTGTAATCACATAGTTTAACATGGTGTATGTAGCCCAAAATCTAGAATAAGTTCAATTGGGTTAACGATTTGTTCTTTATAACGTTGTCTATGGCAAGAGTCTTTAGAAAGAATTGCTAAATTCTGTAGTTGCTGTTGGAGGGACACTGGTGTAAGCAGACTTGAAACCTCATCTGGACTGTTCTTTGTTTTCTGTACCTTAACTGCTCATCTGAGTCATTTCAACATAAACCTCAGATGTGTCCTGATTACAGGCGTCCCCTTGTTCTCATCAGATTATATTAATAAAACGATAGCCACGTGTATTAACTGAACTAAAGGGGAATGTCAACAAGTCTAAGAAGTGTCTTGGAAAAAATCCTGATAGATAGTGAAGCTGTTTAAAGAAAAAAAAAATGTACTTTTTGGTAATTTTATGTAGATTTAATTGAAAATGAAATAAATGTCCAGGTATGCTTCAGTGTGTGGGTAATGCAGTAAATAAAACATAACAGGAAAACTAGTGTTCTGATGGCTATGCAGTGTGAAACATCAAAATATGGTTTGTAGATGATGTATCGTACTGCATAACAGGAGAACCTGTCTAGATAGTAGGATTCCTGACTGTTACACGTGAACTTTAGTTCTGTTACAGCTCAGTGTAGTATGGTTTGTATTATCGCCCGAAAGTGGAAAGCAGGGAGTACTTGCAAACTATTGAGAAGCCCTTTAACAGAATGCAGCTCATCTTAAAAACATTTTTACAGTGAGCTAAAAAAGATATTAATTAAAAAGTTGGTACCTTTCCCGTCAAAACTGTGACAATTAAGGATAGTTTTTTGTGGACAGTCTATCACAGATCAGTAACATTTCAGTTTGGTTTTACAAGTGTGACCTTCTGTAGCTTAGGAGCCTGGCTCTCCTGTACCTTTGCATAATTTTGGATGTTGTGGCAGCATCAGCTTCCTGCTGTTGACTAACCTTTAGATTAGAAGCTTGGAACTGAATTTAAAACTTTACGATCTCTGGCTGATGACTAGTGTTTAGTCAGTATATGTTTGTCTTTGTGTGCATGCCTGTGGTTTACAGGAAGGATGAAAGGGAGGTCTGACAGGGTTGGGGTAAGAACGAAGTCTGGACCTGACGCAGTGGTAAGTACAAGCACACAGGGCTGTACCAGTCTAGCTTACCTGCAGTAACATAGCACCTCGGCATTACCTGGCACAAGCGTGCAAAGGTGAGTGCTTCCTAAGGAGGTATTGTGGGTAAATGTAGAGGAAGGAAGGGAGGGAGGTCGAATAGCAAGCAAGTTGAACGAGAAGGAGTAAATACAGCCCTAAATGAACGTTATGCATCTGCTTTTACTTCTACGATACCCAGTCCAGTTCAGTCTTCTCCTGTGATGTGTCTGTACCAGTTGTATAATTCGGATCTTTGTAAGACTGTGGTGAGAGATGTGATTGCTGTACCTTTAGGCATGCCAGAGCTGGCTTTCATCGGGCTGCCTGCCCAAGTGAATAAACACAAGGTGGGCCTGCGTGGCTGAGGCTGCTGCCTGTACTGGTACATCGGTGCTGCCATTACTGTACTAACTAGGTTAGAGGGCATTCGGCTTTGTGTGTGCTGCAGCTGCACCTCGATGGCAGTGTAGGTGTACTCCAGCCCACAGTAAGGAGAGTCAAGAAAAGCTCCCTGTTCATCATGTTCCAGTTCAGAGAGAGTCCTCATCCTGGTCTTCTGGAGCTTGATCTTCCAGTAGTTGCCACCGTGGTAAAACATCTGAAGCATCCAGCTTCAGCTGCACTGAGGCTTCCTGTACCGAGTACCACTCACACAGGCACGGAGGCATTTTTGGAAATCTCTGACAGTACCTCCAGTTTCTTGGATTCGGTGTGTCTGATCAAGGTGCTAGCTCGTGGATTTCTTTTATCTCTAACTTAGAAAGTAAATAGCAATTAGTTTAAACTCTGTTAACTAAGAAATAACAAGGGCAGCTTTAATTTTTATCAACTTCATTTTGAAGGCCATGCTATAAAATTTTCATCCCCTGGCTGTCCAGTGTTTTTCAGTGATATTTTTGATTTCTGACCTTTAAACCAGGGACTTTATCTCTTACTTCTCTTGCATAATTCTTAGATGTATGTGAGGCTTGGAAGGGCACAGCAAATCTTATTTTCAGCCTTATTTCCAAAGAGGTAACAGCCCCATGTAGAGGCTACTCGGAGCTTTTCAGAAAGCTGCAGTACTGCTGCAGGCAGGTAACCTCCCTCTAGCACTGGCAAGGCATTTCTGATGGCTGAAACATTTCAGCAATGCTGGAAAACGTTACAAATGTGTAAGACAAAAGATTTTGCAGATTCCTTCAGGTTCTCTGAATTCCTTTCTGCAGGTCATGATACAGTGCAGATTTTGTTACAAAAAGTTGCTTGCTCAACACCTTGCTTCTTTTAAAGGGTTTTTACTTTCTTTGCTTTTTCTTTATCATTTTGAACAGCAGTTCTAAAATGCTGAATATAATCCTTATATTAATGTAGGTCAAACGAGCTGGTTGTAAAAGAACTTGATTAAAAATAATTGCTTAATGTACATTAACTGCTCAGATGCTACAGGATGAGCACCAAAAAAAAAATCCTTACTTTTTTTTTTTTCAAATAGGAGCTATAACTTCAGTGTTAATCAATTTGATCGTCACACAGCCGTCTGTAGAAGTTAAGTTGCTCCAGGGTCAATTTCCTGTGTAGGGATGGGATAAATAATGAAGAAAGAACTAATGTAAACCATCAGCAAGCGTATTAGTAGTTTTCTAAGATCTCTAACTAAAAAGTTATCAGCCTAATCGCTGAATATGTAACTTGTTCTCACTTGGAAATGCTTTCATCTGCTGCACATTGGCTTTGACCTCTTAAAGCACAAATTTTACAGCTGTCCTGCTGCTGCTGCGTTTTCCTGTGGTGTTGTCAGATGGGGTAGAAATAGCCTTGATATCTGAGCAACAGAAGCTAGAAAAATGTATTTGGTCATACTTGCATGGGCTGTCACAGCTTTTTATGTAAACAGTTGATTTGTGTATGAGACGGAGCTCAGCTTGCACTATTGTAGAGCACTCTGCATAGTCGCGTGGCTGAGCAGTTTTATTGTTTTGAATGACACTATCAGAATTTCTCTACTCTTGTGATATCACTGTTTGTGGACACGTATAGAATGGGCCTTTCCATAGACCGACAGAACAACATACATGCCTGTTTCCTGTGGCAGTAGGTTCAGCTGATGCATGTTTAATGCTGAGCATCCTTTTGAGATTGCAAGTGGATTGAAATAGTCAGTGCTGAATAATTGGCCTGGTGTTCAATAATGTAGAAAATCTCCAGCCCCATTTCAATTCAGAAGGTGATGAGCAGCTTTAAAAATTCGGTTACTTGCAGAAATACCTCATTTGTCGTTTAGATGGCTGTTAGCTGTTCCAATTTGAAAGTCGTGGTTGTACTCTACAGTATACCCTGATAGCTTCCAAGTCCTGTGCCGATAGGATCTTGAAGTTTCCAAGTTGCTGAAGGACAAGAAACAAAGACAAATTTCGGGGTTCACAGCTGACATGAATGCTAGCTTCTTTAGGTCTAGAAAGTAAATGTTGAATTATTGCTTGCTTTGCAGAGAGCTTGCTGTGTCTTGTGGTAATGTGTAAATGTCGTTTGCAAAATCACATGTCATACCATGACCTTAATCATGCTAACATCGCTTGTTAATTGTTCATTTCCAAGCTTGGGCATAAATGCTGTTCGATTAGAGCCTGATTTTGCACTGTGATTGTAAATAAAGATAACAATACTGTCATATAGCACATAGCATTGCTTTCAGTAAAGATTGATTTATATGGTATGATTTGTTTTTTCTTTTTTTTTTTCTGCACAGATCATCGTGTGGTTGGAGAAAATGCTAGATAAAATAATCAGCATTTTCATAATATTTTTGCTAGTGATAGGAACCCTTCTGCTAGCCCTGCTCCTTACTGCAAAGGTACAGTGCGCTAAGGAATGTAATCACAGAGCTCATTTTAAATGCTGAATGAAAGTTACTGACGTTTATTGAAAATTGTATAGCTTGAAGAATTTTTTGAAAAGAATAGCAACTAAATGCTCTGGAGTTGATGAACTTGTTACCATTCCAAGACTACTTATATAAATACATAGATTTTCATATGTTTATTTGTATGTATATGTTTATTTACATACATGACAAAACTAATACATAGGCATTTGGAAATACAAAATTTATTCTAGTGAAAGAATTACTAGCTTATATATTACAGGAACAGATTTGTTTTGCATCCTGTTTCACTTTTCTTGTCAACAGAACCACTTAGAATATTTTCTTTTTAATTTACCTTACATCAGAAACATATTTACAAATTGCTTAAGATGTATTTGTCAATTTGTTTGTGTAATTCCCTGTAATGACCTCATGGTATCCTGTTCTGAGTATAGATGTGCTGAGATTCACGTTCAAAAGTTTTCTGAAAGTGATTTGTGGTTCAGGTTTTTTTTTCCTTTTTTTTTTTTTGTGGGTTTTGTTTGTTTGTGTTTTTTAAATGGAGCTGTGTTCTTACTTGAAACAGTCAATGGAGATTGAATGTTTGACTTGAATACAGTTACGGGACAAAAATCAATGGGTTCTGATGACAATCTCCTTTTTCCAAAATATTGAGTACTTGAAATTGAAAGCTTTGAAAGTTGTGTAAATGTTCCTGCTTTTTTTTTTTTGTGGGTTTTGTTTGTTTGTGTTTTTTAAATGGAGCTGTGTTCTTACTTGAAACAGTCAATGGAGATTGAATGTTTGACTTGAATACAGTTACGGGACAAAAATCAATGGGTTCTGATGACAATCTCCTTTTTCCAAAATATTGAGTACTTGAAATTGAAAGCTTTGAAAGTTGTGTAAATGTTCCTGCCTAACTATTCCTTATATTCATAAAGGAAACATGAAGATATTTATAAAAGGTGACTTTTATCATTTTATTGAAGAATTAATTTGATAAGGCACTTCATAGCATGGCTGGTCGTGTTAGAGCTCAGCATTCATTAATTTTTACAATTCTTTGATCCATGGCTTAAAAAGGTATATCTGAAACTGTGCTTTGTATTTTAGTACTTCCCTTGACAGCACGGCTATATTGTGAACTTTTTTCTCACTGATGAAATAAGATTTAAATTTCCATTTGCTATTACTAGTCACACAGTGTGCGACCAAAATTGTCAGAACAGACTGATGATTATTGTATTGACTGCTTTTTTGGGTTAATGGTGCTTCATTCTTCATAGTGAGTTGTCTGTGTTGGAAGAATTATTCTTTAAAGAAAAAAAAAAAGCCTCTCTGAATGTGAGAAGAGTTCTAGTTTGCATTACATAACATTTCTCCTCTCTGTATTTAATTTAGGTACATCAAGAGAGTGTTCACATGATTCAAGTCACAAGCAGCTTGATCAATGAGACAGTAGCCAGTCATCCAGAATGGGCAAAGTAAGAATGCTGAAGTTAAGCGAATAGTATAGGTTGGATGAACAAGCTTCCAGGTGCTCTTATGCATAGTTTTTAATTTAAAAAAATCCCCTAGGTGAACAGAAATGAGAGTGACTGTTGCAGCAGGTGTGAAAGCTAAACTCTCAGGCACCAGTAGTGTTCATGCATTACTCTGGAGGACTGTCAGTGCAGTGTCTCATTTGAGGACTGTTTGGACTTTGGTGGAGAAGGACAACTGTATGAACTTCTCTAGTTACAGTTTTGGAGGAGAAACTTGCATAGTGCAGAGAATAAAAGGTCAATATTCTTTTCTCTTTTACCTGTGAAAGAAAAATAATGGCAAAGAATGCTCTGTGTAGAAGGTTGCAAGATGAGCTGAATTATTTTTTCAGTGTGGAGAGCTGACTGCAGAATGCCTTTGAGGGAATAGAGGTGGAAGAAAATGTTTTTGGAGTGAACTGAAGAAGAGTTCGAGAGTGGAAAGAATGGTGGATAGGGAGAGTTAGGTATAAATGAGTTGGGAAGGGCTGTTACAGTTAAAAGTAGATGTGTATAGCATACACAGTGGGAAGTTTGTAAGATAGTCTACGTAAAGATTAAAGCAAACACCAAGGCAAATATTAAAAGGAGAGGGGTTTTGAGAGAGATACATGTAGGAAAAAACAGGGCACACTGGTGAGCAAAGAAGTGATTGCATGAACAGCAGAGGGGGAATAGGTAAGACTGAAGAGTGTGATTTTGAGGGGGCGTGGTCTGATTTGCTTTCATTCTGCTTCAGCTAAACAGACATTGAGTAAAGGTGAGTGCAGGCACTTACCAGGAAAAAAGAATTGTTTCCTGGACAAGAATGGGTGACTTTTTAAGGGCACTTTACAAACAAAAGCGATGATGGTTTAATAGAATTGAAAGAACGTATATGCTGTATTATGAGAACAAGAGAACTTTTCAAAAATAGGACTGATGAAAATGGAAGTTTGACTGTCAGAAGCTTATTCATATAATGAAAATACTGGAGTGCTAGTTGAGTAATTAGCAGAATTTTAGCTAAAATTTTTACTTCTAGTCTTTACATCCAAATTTGAAGCATCCAGAACACTCTATTCTAATTCATTAGGAGTAAGTGTACCAAATCCATCAAGCTTTACCAACTTTCAGAGCTTGATGCTCACATTATGTTTAGAGGTGAGTGACTGAAACGTCTTGGAATTCCAATGCAGAACATTTCTGAAGGATTTACAGACAGAAAATCTTCCATGTTGATCTTGAGTCAGGTGAACAAATACAGCAGTTTTATTTGCTGAATGCTTTCTTGTTTGGAAGGGCTCCAATGTGTGCCATTGAATCAAGATTTAGAAAAAAAGTCAAAGCAGAGAATGTGTGCCCTGTATTCACAAGTGCTGAAATTCTGGCACCTCAGTAGGTCCATTGCTTGAAAGTGATGTGAATCCCTGAAGAAATTAATGAGCAAATAGTTTGACAGGGACTTAGAAATAACTGGTGCCCAAACCTGTTGGTTTGTCTGGTCACTTTTTCAGGGAAACTACATTAACAATTTACATTCAGCTCATAAATCAGAAGGTTTTCTAGCAGCTAGACAAGACTGCTTCATGTAATAGTTTCAGAAAACCAGAATACTAAGAAAATTTATAAGAATGTAGTGTGAATAGCACGCACATAGATTGAAGAGCATATCTCTCTTGAAAAAGTTGACATACCAGTTTAACTAAGGTTTCAAGAACTTTGGAGAATTCCAAGTACAATGATGTGTCCTAGATTTAATTGTGCTTGGCTTATGAGAAAGTCAGTTACTTGATACGTAGAAGGAATATTCTGGTTGTAGTAAGTTTGTGTGTATTTAACCTTAATTGTTTGTTGTTGTTTCAAAATGTTAATTTATAATGTGTTTTGGATGTAATGAAATGGATAAAATATGTAGTAGTTAACTTTGTTTTCCTTCTTTAAAAAAAAAAAACTAGCTGGCTTCCAGAAGCCCAGGTTATTCAGAAGGCACTCAATTCAGCAGCTAATAACGTATACCAGTATGGCCGAGAATGGATTACACATAAGGTAAGAATGAGCTCCCTCACCTTTTAAAATGTTTTTATTTCTTACATTTCGTAAAAGTAAAATGAAATAAAAAGATTATTGTCAGTGATTCTTTTCTTGTTTTGTTGACAGATCTATTCCTTCCACTCTCTAGCTTGTGAGTTGAAGAAAGGGTGGGAGTGATTTCAGTAGTCTCTTCTGCTCAGGGGAGTGTTTATTTTTAAGAGCTGAAAAGTCTGTCATCATTTTAATAAGATTGCCAGGGAAAATGCATCAAATAAAGATGAGTAATTTTTTTCATCTGGCTTTAGCTGTCCAATTGTAGACACTGTAGACTTCCCCTGCCCCCAAGCAGTATTCTAGTTTTGTGTGGCTGGGTGTGGTAGATTGGATTTTTTTTTTTTAAATTATGATTTAGTTATTTAAGTTAACTTTCTTCAGGAGAGTTTGCTAAGATTCCTATTTATACATTGTGATATCTAGCACACATCTCAAATTATTTGAAGTATTTACTCTAAAGATGATCCAGGATTTCTAGTTAAATATTTTAGAGATAACATTGGGGTTTTGTTGCAGAAAGAAGTCCGCAGCTTAGTGCAGCAGAATGTTGTTTTTACAGACAAAATTTTCGTGTTGTGAACCATGTTGTCTGAAGTGTCTATTCCATACTGACACTCAGCTTTTCTAATGATTTGGGTTTGAGCCATGCCTTTACTGACAGTCTTGTGTGATTCATCCAGCTTGGAGTTTGTCAGTAGATGCCAGCTTCATTGTGACCTATTTAATAAAAGATCTCTGTATGTTTTAGCTCCATAAGATTTTAGGAGAAAAAGTGAATAACACCGCTGTGATTGAAAAACAAGTGCTAGAGCTCTGGGACAGGCTTTATCACTCTTGGTTTGTGAAGGTGAGTAACTTATTTAAATGGTATTAATATAAACTATCACTTAGTGCTTTGAGATAATTATGTTAAGTGTGCATCTCTAAGGGAGAGATTAGCAAAACGTTGGTATGCTGAGTAAAGGTTATAATAATAAAAAGTTGGTAAAAATTTCAATTGTATAAGATCATTCTATAGTCGTTTGAGCACAGGCAGAGCGATGTCCTTTGCTTAAGTAGTTACATGTGGTTTTATGTATGCCATTTAATTTACCCTGTCCTCACCTTTATATTTAGTGTTTCATAGTTTAGTCCTTTCTGTTGGATTTTCATTATCTTGAGGGGTTAGGGAAAGGAGACTGGTATTCTGAATGATTTGTGTAACTTTAATTTGAAATTTTGAGTGAATTTGTCCTTTCACTAAGTTTCTTAAAATGCATTTTTGCCAGTTGTGCTAGCTTTCCTGTAATGAGTTCTGCACGCAGTCTTGAAAAGTTTGTAAGCGTCAAATCATTTTCATGCTGCCAATGCTGTTTGCCTTTTAAAGGAAAAAGCAATTCATTAGCCATGGTGCGATGGAAATATCAAAATCCAAAAGTCGTATCCCTGAAATACTTCTGTATATTTAAATAAGTGCAATTATAGTATATTAACACTTTTCTTCAGAGGTACTTTAAAAATTACTCTATAAAGTTCCAAGAAGATGTCTGTGATAAAAAAAGTAAGAGTTTCAGTATAGTAGTCAAAATAGAAGGGGAAAGAATCATTTCTTTTTTTTTTCTGACAAGATAATACTGTAGAGGATCCTGTGGAGGGAGAACGTGATGATGTTGAGGAATATGGGACCACTGAGGAGAAATTAAAGCTGTATCTGCAATAGATTTTGCTGGCCTTAAGCACTTGGGAGTATTCAGTGTTGACCAAGAAGAGCACCTACTTTTGATAGTTACATTGATAAACCTGTTGATTTACTAATACAACCCATGTGTCAGCTGGTTCGTAGCGCTGTATCGCCCCGTAGGGCTGTGTGCCACTGCGTGTGCTGGGGGAGTGCTGCTGCTGCTGCAGTGTGCAGCACAGATTGTGTCTGTGTTCCTTGCGTTACGTGATTTCTTTACTGCGGCTGTTACTTGAGGGAATACTATGAGGCATCTTTCTTGTAGATGCTCTTCTAGTAGGGTAGGAAAGATACAGCTTTCCCAGCAGTTGAAATGGCAGAAAGAGCTTCAGGGCCGCACTGGTGCTCACTGTCTACAGTCCTGAAGTCTGTTCCCCTGGCTGCTGTTTGCATTTTACACACCCTGTGTTACCATTGGCGTGCTGGGCTCCAGCCGATTATCTGTGGGCTGCAGGTAGCTCTTCCAGAATCTATTTCTGATCTTGCCCCTTCTGTTGCGCTCCATATCCACGTAAATGTCCCACCTCAGTGCTTTCCACCTGGCTATTTTCTTCTGTAATATTACTACAGCCTTGCGTGGTCCTTCTGTGTATCTGAAAACTGGTAAACCAGCTGATAGTGCTGTGTGGAGGACATCTGTACCATCTCTGATTCTCTCAGTACAACTTTCAAGCTCCCCACTATTTCAGTTGTACGAGCATAATAATTACACTTCATTTTGAGGCCTGCGTAGTGTTGCTCTAGTCTCTACGTGACTGAAGAACCCAGACTCAGGTGATATTCTTCCGTTCCTGTAGAATTGAGGAAGAATTGCTGATGAAATGTGGATTCAACCATTAACTGCTGCTTTCTGAGAAGAAAATGGTGTATATTTTAAAAGGTTCTAGGAATGTTGCGATAGATCAGTTACCATTGCGTCTGTGTACCCAATGAACTAAAACAGTAACGGAATCATAAAACAGTTGGAAGGTGATGGCATAACTCTGCAATCAAGGTGTCTCTTTCAAGGACAAGAATCTCTTCTTCCTGGTCCATTCAGGTGTGGGGTTTGGTTTTGTTTTCAAGAGCCAGTGAATTTGTTGAAGAGGAACCAGTTGACAATGTCTTCAGTTCCCTTATTTATCAACACCTGAGACCTTAAGTGCTATGACAGTACAGGTGCTGAATAACAATGAACTTGAAATGGATATGATTAACAATGTTACAAACTTTGCAAATGATCCCAAATTCTGATAGTTAACGGGGAGATCTATCTTTGAAAATAGAACTAGATGAACAGAACGTAGGGTCTTGATACAAATGCAAAGGAGACAAAAGTTTGCAAATACAGAAGGCCTATTGGAGGGAGATTTTTGACTACTCATAAGGTTCTGCTCTAAATAAACTGCCAGGTCAGAAGAAAGATCTGTCTTGCTGTGGATTGTTGAAGAACATGGCTAATTGTGCATCATGAAGTGTAACAATGCATCTAGGGAGACTTGGTAATAAGCAGAAAATGTACTGCTCTTGGATAAATCAGTGCAGGGGTTTCACTTGGAATGCAACTTGCCATGTATGCCAAAAAGGAATTGGCTGTTGCGGTTATGGCCATGTCCTGTTGTGTTCTAGTTACAAAGCTGTGTCGTCAGAAATCCTCCACGCTTTCAGTTTAGCTTTTAGCTTTTGCATGACTGAACATTGCCAGTGGAGAAGTAGACACTAATTGTGAGAAAACCACTTGTTCTGGCTTCTGCTTGTATTTTCTTTTGTGAGTTGTACTGGGAAAAGTTGTGTGTTACAAACAGTAAATTATGTAGGCAGTAACTGAAATCATTACTTCTTTCTTCTGTGCTTTCAGAAAGAGCAAGACAGATACCATTATCAGTCAGGCAGTAAAGCTAATGTTTAACTGAGGTGAATCAGTACAATAAGAGAGCTGTAATTATAAGGGATAATTAACTATGGTTTTCTTTGGATTTTTAATTTTTCCAGTGTACAGAGTACTTCCAGGTATTTCTGAGGATGCCAATTAAAGCTGCTCTAAGTATTTAGATGCATGTTGGATCTGTTCCTCATTAAGAAAACATTAGTCTTGGGCTTTCTCGTATCTGTACATTATTCAAATGTATGTTTTCTTTATGTCTTTGTCTCTCTTTAAGAATGTAACGCATTCTGGAAGACACAAAGGACACAAATGGCACATAAACCGTCAAAACAGCTGGCTTGGTGATATTCTGGACTGGCAAGATGTTGCATCATTTGTTCATGATAACATTGAAACATTTCTTTCGGTATGTATTTTTTGCCCTTATTAACAAGTTGGTCTCATTTTTAACTGATAACAATTCCTCCTTGAACTATCACTGAGGTTATGGATTCAAGTACATGGAAAGTTATGGAAACACTGTTACTTACAATTACCTAAACAATTATTGTAAGCCTACTGAGGGTACAACCATACTACAAACAGAACTGGTTGTGATGAAGAAGCCCTCCTGATTTCAGCATCTTCATTAACACTAGTTTCCCAGACTTCTTCCTGAGAGATTGTTGATGTAGGATTACCTGTGTCAGCTGCAAGCTGTTTTTAAATGCTTTATATTATGTAGTCTTTTCTTTTTAAGAAAAAAAGACCTATTTGTCTAGGTTATTGTTGAGGAAACTATTGACCAAGAAGTAGTAAAAACAAACTATTTTTTTTAGTAGTCTTACTTTTTTTTTCCTCTCAAATTATTATTCATTGAGTTGAAAGCAGCTTATTTCTCTCTTCTTTTATGAAAAGTTCTGTGGAGAATGGAATTAATATTTTACACTGTGTGAGTTCCTGAATTAATGCACTGGACCTTTCACCTCCTGAGGAGTAAAAGAAAAAGCTTTGAAAGCGATCAAAACTGAAGCAACTACAGTTCTGTAAAAAAATGTTAAGTCTGAGTCAATCCCTGATGCCATTCATCTTTGACTTGAGCTGTTGTCATAAACTACAAGTATCTTCAGGTTATTATTTATCCATTTTGGAAGAATATTATTTGTACCTAACTCACAACATAGTGTATCTGTGGATGTAATTAAAGCTGATATTTGCCTCGAGGCAGTTCTTGGTTTAGACGGGCATGCGTGCTTTTTCTGTCCTGCCTCAACTGCTGCTTAAGTGGTTATAGTTTATATCATAGAAGAAGATATGAGTCAAGAAAAAGTTGAAAGAAACTTTTTATTGCAGTGAACCTTTTTTCAGTTAATTGTGCAATTTGCTTAATACTTTCTCAAAGTTGACAATGCATGCTTGAGGCAGAGTTACAAAAATGCACAGCACATCATCATGTAAAATCAATACGGAGTTTCCTTCTACGCAAGAGGGAGAGAAGGAGGAGAAACTACATGATAGGTGCTAGCCGTGTCATTTACAGCATTGTTGCACAGTGCTCAGAAACCATGGTGATGAGTGTGCTTCAGTAATCGAAGTAGGCTAGACTAATGCAGGAAATAGTGTAAAGAAAACGAATATTTAAGACTGAAATACATTAATATTAAAATTTTGATCTAGCAAGCATGCTTCACTTCTAAAAACTTGTTTAGAAGTTCAGGAAAAAAAGTGCCAGCAGTTGACTTGCTTTCCTGTTTATTTCCATGAACTCATTACTCATCAGCTGGGGGAAACACCTGTCCTTTTCCTCTGTGCACTCGTGTCCTTAACAACAGACTGTAAAGAGTCAGCCCAGTATATAGCTCTATATCCTGATTTCACATCCTTACTGGGCAGCATCTGCTTTGCTAGCTTGTGCATCCACAATGCATTGCATAAATGTGACTCACACTCATAGTTCAAATTTAAATTGATGAAAATCTGATTTCTGTGATTGCTTAGGTCATTGAAACTTGGAGATGATGAAAATAAGAGTAATTTTGATTTAAACCTGGTGTTTCTAAGCAAATTGCTTCCCTACTCTAGGATGCAATGGAAGCTTACTGTATTTGGGATTTCTGTTTTTATCAGAGTATGAAAATCTTTCTCTTGGTACTTTGAAGAGGAACAATGAGTTATTAGAATGGCATGCTAAGTTGGGAAGGATCAATCTTTTAAGTTACGTAGTTGCCTTTGAGGGGGGTTGTTTTGGGGGTTTCTTTTGTCTTTTGGGTGGATTTTGTTTGTGTTTGGTTTGGGGGGGTTTAGGCTTTTTTGTTTGCTCTTTTGTGTTTTGTGGAACTTTGGGTAGGATTTTTTTTTTTTTTTTCGTTGAGTGTGTTGTGTATGGTGGGGATTGGGCCGGGGGGTTGTTGGTGGAGGGGTTTAAATAGGTTAGCTGTAATTCAAACTGTAGGATGTTTCTGCATTTGGACGCTTGAAATCAATGCTAAGCTGCAATTCTTAAGAATATAGCAAGACACAGTACAGTCCTAAAACTGTTTTGGCAGGTTTTATAAGACACAAACCATTTAAAGACAATGAGGTAACTGTCAAGAAGTGTGTGTGGATATGCAGCTATAGTGAGATTTCCTCTGCCTTTGGAAAAGAATAAACCAAGATTGCACTACTTGCATAGATTGAGGCTAGAGTTTACCATATAGTAACTGTCTTGCTAGCCCCTTGGCTTTCTGAAATGTTTTGAAATAGTACAGATGACTCTGTATTCTCTGAAAATACAGATATTTGACAGTGTCCTTTTGCAATCACAAGCAGATAAGCTGTTTTCCATTGATGGAAATTATAGGGAGTGTTCATCCTTTGTAGTAAGAGAAGGAGCATTTGCTGTAAGGAAAATGTTAAAAGAAGACAGATGCAAGTGTTTCACTTCAGGCTTTTCCTGTAGTGGAAGAAACTTTCATATTAGAGTTGAAAGCATATAATTAAATCACTGGTATAGCTGTGCTGGGGAATTACTGGCATTCACTTAATTTGTAACAATATGCATTGATTCAGTACTTTAATTATGAGTGTCAGATAAAGCACGGAAGACTTCTGTACCCCCGTCAGAATGTGCTGTTCATTATAGCAGTTATACTTAGCTCTAGTTTGATGTAGACAGACCTTAATTATTTTGAAGTAATTCACTATATAAACATGTAAATTGCTTGAAGATTTAATATGAAGATAAGCTTTTCCAAATCATCAGTTTGCTTTTCTCTAAAAGCTTTGATGTTAGCAGCAGTGCTGCCTTTCAGCTTCAGATTTTTTCAGTACTCTTTAGAAGCAGTAGTGTTATAAACCAGTTTATCCAGTGATGTGTTTCTCAAGAGGGGTTTATTTCATCTTATTCTTAGTTTGGGGAGAGAGCTAGAGTGGATCCTCACTTACACCTTGAGTTTTGCACCCATGCTCTATTCTAAGGTAGTTTTTCAGGTGAATGAAATATGCAATACGTAGCTGGACTGTTAAGATTTAATATCTGAAAAATAAAAAAACCTCATTGCTTCCCCACTCACCTGCTTTTCCATTCATACCCCTCCATTTCTTGAAGGCTTGAAACCTTGAAAAAGTAAATAGCTGCTTGCCAAATCTATGAATGATCACTCAGAACTCCCTTGATTGTATATGAGACGTTGCTAATGTCTCCTTAAATTCATCTTTTTGCTTCTTTCACAAGAATATTCATGATTCCACCAGTAGCCGGTATCTCATTCAGAGATTTCCCAGACAGGAAGATGGAAGACCTTTCATTAAGAAGTACACAGTGAGCCTCAGCTCAGTTAGGTTTCTCTATCTTTGCCTTTGGCATGACTGATCTGTGTGTTCTCAAATAGTTCACTGAGTTACCACATTTCGTAATGTTTTCTCTGGCCCTGAGAATTTCTTCAAGTACTCTACAGAGTTTATAGCTAATACAGTCCATTCTTCAGTAATAATTCAACTACCATGCCTTTTTTTTTTCTAGTAAGGTAAACGCTCAGAGGTTTGGTATACTCTTCTCCATAACCTGTTTTGGATTTTTTTTTCAGGGTAGGTGAAATTCAGCCTGGTGCATATTTTTAGAGGAGTTGTTGATTTCTTTACAATAGGAAAGTCAGACATGATGCTGGAGGATAGTCCTTTTTCTGTTTCTGTTCTGTCTCTGTTTCATGTAAAGGTCAAGCAAAGATGTTTTTTCAAAAACAAGCTGTTGAGCCCTGAAGGGTTGTCCCAGAACTCTGCGGGTAAACATTGATTTGGAAATCGGCTTTTAATTGGAGCAGGCAGCCTTTGATCTTGTGCATTCTTCACAAAGTCCATTGCTTGTCCTTTACCTTAAAGGCTTGCTGACTTGTTCTGCTGCCGTCATTTTTGAGTTGTCAGGATGATACATTTTTCTGAACAGAAAAAAAAAAAAATATGCAGAAGGGCAAGGTTTTTTTGGTAGTACCTCTTTGTGTCCGCTTTTATTCCCTTTGCAAATCTGTTAGTGATCTCTACAGTCAAATCAGGTACTTGAACTTACATGGCTTCCAGAAGTTTGTTGACTTGAAGTTCTCAGCAAATAACTTGGTTTTGGTCAAGTGCCTTTTAAACCTTGCTTTCAGGTACTGGCCAGGTCAAGTGGCCAATAGCACACCTTAGATGGCTAAGAACATTAAGTGCAATTTTGATTCTTGCCTGTTACAGACTGGAAAGGCACAGCAACTGATGCTGACGGTGACATATCACAGTGTGATGTATAAGGGGGTCTTGAATTCTATACAACTTCGTAGCTCTTTTAGACACTGATCTCTTAAGGCTACTTACAAAGCAGTGTTTTGGGGAAAGAGGTGTGTTTTTCACTTAATAACAGTAGTATTAAAAGTAGAATTATGCATAAATAGATAAATAGGCATATTATTATTTATATAAATATATAAAAACATGTGTATTTATATAAAGCTGCATAAGTATAAAGACCTGGGCAGGCTGGAGAGCTGGACAGAGAGGAACCTAATGAGGTTGAAGTGTAGGGTCCTGCACCTGGGCAGGAATAACCCCATGCACCAGTACAGGTTGAGGGTCGACCTGCTGGTAGACAACAAGTGAACCATGAGCCAGCAATGTGCCCTTGTGGCCAAGAAGGCCAGTGGTATCCTGGGATCATCAAGAAGAGTGTGGCTAGCCCTGATGAGGCCACATCTGGAGTGCTGTGTCCAGTTCTGGGCTCCCCAGTTCAAGAAGGACAGGGAACTACTGGAAAGAGTCCAGCAGAGGGCTACGAAGATGTTGAGGGGACTGGAGCATCTCTCCTACGACAAAAGGCTGAGAGATCTGGGGCTCTCTAGCCTGGAGAAGAGAAGGCTGAGAGGGGACCTCATCAACACTTACCAATATCTAAAGGGCAGATGTCAAGAGGATGGGGCCAGGCTCTTTTCAGTGGTGCCCAGCGACAGGACAAGGGACAATGGGCACAAACTGGAACATGGGAAGTTCCACCTGAATGTGAGGAAAAACTTCTTTACTCTGGGGGTGACAGAGCCCTGGAACAGGCTGCCCAGGGAGGTTGTGGAGTCTCCTTCTCTGGAGATATTCAAAACCTACTTGGATGCAGTCCTGTGTGACCTGCTGTAGGTGACCCTGCTTTAGCAGGGGTGTTGGACTACATGATCTGCTGAGGTCCCTTCCAACCCCCACCATTCTGTGATTCACAGTTAGTTGTGTTTTGGAGAACTGATCTCAGCTGGCAAGGTGTTAGAAATTGTTTGTGCATAGTAACTGAGCTCTGAGAGCAGCAGTATGCTCTGGGAATCAAAGGGCGTTATGGACTCTTAGGTGCAGGTGCAAGTATTTTGAGTTTGTGACTGTTAGTGAGGTGTTTGAGCCCTTTCTCATACTATACTCAGTAATGGTTAATGTCTACTATGTCAGTTTTCTCATCCTAGGGTTGACAAGCGTCTGTCTTGAAATATTAATGGTACGTATGCAGAAATAGGAACTTACTCTATAGCTGGAGATGACTCCTAAAAGATGCACCTGCTTTCCTGAGACATACTGAAGCTGAATGAAAGGAACTGTTCACACTTAACTCTAACGCAAATGCTAGTGATAACTAATTCAGCACTTCCGATCAATGGCTCTACCCAACAAGGATGTTCTTCTAGGAGAACCATTCCCGATGTTGATTGAACCACCCAATAACTGCATTCAAGCTAACTGTAGTTGTATCTCCTGGTTATCAGCTCCTTAGGCTAAAGCTTCTAGAGAAAGTGTTAAACAAATAACAGCCTATACTGGAGGAACACCCTATGTTGAAGGAAACTTTCCCAGCCCCCACCAGATGTATGCTCTCTTGTAGCAGGTGGAACAAACCCCTCTCCTTGTGAATCAGTATCAGCTCAGCTGATGTGTTGCAAGTGATGGTGGAAGAGGGAGGGAATTAATGATTGTTGTGATTAGTACTTAGAAGACTGATAAATCAGGCTAGTTTTAATCTTTAAAACAAAACTTTACTAGACCAGCTTTCGTTAACAACATGCTTCATGCTAATGACTTGTTTTACAGTCTACTAATTGTTATTGTTATATATACAAAGTGGTCAGTCCTTATAACAGTCATACCCTACATGAGCTGTGAGGATAAAGTACCGTTGTGGTGGTGCTATGTAGTTGGCACCAACAGCCACTCTCCGTCATGGTGTGAGTCACAAAAGTCAAAGTGAACAGGCTCAAGAGCTCTTAAATACAGAAAGCTGCAACTGAAATGGACATCATCTTCCCTCAGATGAAGGAGTTTGTCCTTTTATGAAGTGTTTTTGTTTCTGGATGGCTCCCACCCCTTGACCTCTGCCCTGGACTATGTGCTGTGTGGTACTTGGAGAGGCATTACTTTTCCAGGTCCTGGCAGGTGCCTGCTTGTTTCTTTTTTTTCCCTTACTTAGTTGATACTGCATTTTCTTAAAGCAAAAGCAGTCTTTTCCCAGCTCTTAAGGTTGTGTGTCTTCCCGAGTGCAACTACTTGTGTTTCAGGGGCCTTTGTTTTCAACCTGTGTCCCTATTTTCAAGGCCTTTGCTGCTGTTCTATGATTAAACTCCACATCAGAACAGGAGACCTGGGCACCAAGCTCCTGTTCACACGCCAGGTTCTAGTAACAAGCTTAAACATCTGGGGCTGGAGCCTTACACAGTTAGTGTACAACTTATGGCCTGTTATTAGCAATGGCAGTACTATTTTTATTTAATACCAACTGAAAAGCCTCTGCTTTAGCTACAAAATGTTCCCTCAAAAATCACTGTCCTCTGTGTTTACAGGCCTCATAGTGTAACGTACACTTAATAAAGTTACCTGGTGACTGCATGAATCTGTGCCGCTGCTGCACCCCCAGAATGAATTCTTAATCCATGTGTCAGGGTTTAAGCCCACCCAGCCAACAACAAAGCACCGTGCAGCCGCTCGCTCACCCCTCATCCCAGGGCCCTCCACGGGTGCAGGGCGACCTCTGGGCCACCGCTGGGCGGCAGGGGCTCAGCCGCCACTCCACTGCGGGCTGCGTGCGTTTTTCCGGGCCGCAGCCCCGCCTCCTCCCTCGCTGCCCCGGGGGGCCACAGGGCTGGCTCTCTCACATCCCCCTCCTCTCCTCGGCTAGCAGACAAAGACTCACAAACAAAGAACTTGCCCAGTGGCTTTTTCCACTCTTAAACAGGGTTATTTGCAGAGGCGCTGGTTGGCCTGGCCTTGGTCAGAGGCGGGGCCCGATTTTAGCTG